ACCCTCGGATTACTACCTCGGGAATAAACTGGTTAGCTGTTATCAAAGTTACACCTCAAGGCGAATAATCGCTGGAGATGAACCACCATTACAAGAAGAAAACACCAATGAAATCGAGGAACCTGAAACAGAAATTGATGACATCCTACTCATTGATCCGCATAATCCTGAATACGAAGATGTTCATGATCACTCGACGGACGAAAGTGTTGAGGACGAGTTTTACGAAAATGATGATGTTTCAACAGATTACGAGAATGTATCCGAATGAATTATGTATGATTTATTAGTTTGTTTAATCACAAAAATGAATTTGAATTATATGTATGTTTTAAGTTTGATTAATCACAAAATTAATTTGAATTTCGGGTTTATGTGTAGAAGAGGTTTGGCGTTTGGTTGTAGAAGAGGTTATAAGTTAAGGAAGTTGTGGTTTGGGGTTTGGGGTTTTGAGTTTAGGGATTTACAAACCCTTTCCTCGTAAAACCCTAGTAACAGAAAGCGCGGGCATAGCTGTTTCCTCGTAAAGTCCTAGTAACAATGTTACTAGGACTTTACGAGGAAATAAAAACGCAGGCATAGCTATTTCCTCTTAAATGCCTCGAAATCCTAAACGCGTGCATAGCTATTTCCTTGTAAACTTACTATGACCTTACGAGGAAACAAAATTTCCTATATAAACTCGAGCCATCCGATTTCTCTCATCTGTAGCAATCTTCTCTCTAAATCCTCTTAAGGTTCTCTCTATTTCCTAGTTAGGTGATTAGATTAGGGAATTTACATTAGGTGGTTAGTTTAGGGAACTTAAATTAGGTGGTTAGTTTAGGGAATTTAGATTATGTTAATTTAGTTTTTTTTAACTTTTTTTAAAATGATAATATTATATTAATGTTTTAATTATTTTTTTGAAATTTAGATGACTAGAAAGAGCAAGCTTGATAGGGCTAAGAGGCCTCTTCAGGGGAGTCATTACGGAGATATGTTTGGTCGTCAGCCTGATCCTCACATAGGCGCATCGTCTTCTTCAGCTCCCGGTTCTTCGATTCCGGATGACGTTGTTCCCGAGACTCAGGGAGTTTCTACGGCTCCCCGGTTTGATCCACCACCACCTCCTCCTCCACTCCTCCTCCTCCTCCACCGGTCGTCGGGGTTCATCCCGATTTTGAGGTGCCGCCAAACGCTCCATTTGCGGTGTACACGGTGGAGGATATTATCGCCCTTCGAGGCAGAGAAGGGCTGCCTGAGTTAGATCTTGTCCGACGGGACGGCCACAATATATTATGGTATGTTTTAATTTTTAAAAAGTGTTTTTAATTTATTTCTTAATTAACCAAAAATTTACAAATTAATCTAATTAATTTTTTTATTTTGTTTCTTTCCAGGTTTGGCTTTGACGGATGTGTCGCTCAGAGCGTCACTGATTGTATCAAGGGATACTTTCCCGATCCAGCTCCAAACTGGAAAAAGACGCCCAGCCAGACAAAAAAAGATGTGGTTCAAATCGTTCGTTGTAAGTCATTAATTAATAAACTTAATTTATTTTTAATTATTTAAAATTTTTATTATTATTGAACTAATTACTCTAATTTTTTCTGGTTACAGCAAAAATATCGTTGGTCTATAGGGATTCACCAGCGGGTGAAGACGGAGTTTGAGGCGAAGGAAAAAACGCGATTGCTCGACATGGTCTACAACTGGAAGGGCGACTTTCATGTGTGGATTTATAAATTATATATATGTTTATATCATTGACTTTAATTCAAATCATTTTAAAATTATTTTTTGTTCAGGTGGATGGTTACGAGGAGAGGAAACCCGATTGCCTCACTTTCGACGTGTGGGATGGCCTCATCAGATAAACTAATTGGACTCGGTCAGAACCTCCCAGACAAACTCATAGAACCGCATGACAAGAGACGAGCATGACAACAAGAAGATGCTTCACACCGGGGGTCGAAAACCTCATTGGGGAATCCATCTAGACATGGTAAATTAATTTTTAATAACTATTTTATTTTTACTCTATTTGTATATTCCTAATTAATATTAATTTTAAAAATTATTTTTAGGCTAAAGAGACAGGAGTTCTTCCATCTCTGAAAGAGCTTTACGAGAGGACCCACCGGAACAAGGCTGGGCATTTTGTAGATGCTAGCAAAGTTTCTATTGCGAGTGTACCTTTAAGGGAAGCCGCAAGACTGCTAGCAAGGTTTCCATTGCAAGTGTACCTTGGAGTATATGTTCAAACTCAAACAACTGGGATAACACCCTCTAGCAAATAGTCTTGGAGACAACTTAGATGTAGTATCAGTGGCGAATCCGAGATTTTCCACAGATACAAATCCCCATGCGGTTGAGTCCATTGACGACCTTGATGCTTGGCTATCAGTATCAGTAACTACAAAAGCAGAGAAATATAGCTGTTGAAGGTTAGAAGCAGATAATGTAGTATCAAAATGTTTTAAAACACCAAAACTAGCGAAAGTCTAAGTTCAAGAGCTAATAAAAACATATCTGGGAACCTATGTACAAAATTCAAGACATGCAACTGGATAGACTCATCAACACAGAAGGAAAGTTCTTTAACTTAAAAGTGAAAAATATTTTACAGAACATGCGTATCGCAGAGCTGCTGCACAACGCCAGGATGGTCCGGCGGCCTTAGTCTTCGATCTGGTCCGTAGGCCTATCAACTGCAAAGTTTGATCTGATTTACGAACCATAGCTGATGAAATCGCTGCTTAATCTAGTAACCAATTTGAGATTTTAGATTAAAGAGCTTTCTCGAGTAGAGAGAGACAATTAATGGAGAGGAAGAGTCGCGATTGTTTATGGCAGAAGACCAAAAGGGACCAGCATCAAGTTATTGGGTCATTATTCTTGGGAAGAGAGACATACTCTCACATGTAGAGACATTTTTCATTATTCTTCGTGGCATTTTTGTTATTTTCATATAAGCAAAGGATGTGTCGCGTTTTTTTTTGAGAATTCTTGAAAAATTCAAATAGTCGCACAACCCACTTTACAAAATAAAACTAGAGGTGACCCAAAATCCAAATTGTAAACTCGACTACGACTCATTTGACAATTTTCTCACAGATTGAGTTATCAAATTTACTAGACTTTTTTTGGTAACATAATTGACTAGATTTGAATGTATATGGCTGTAACTTTTTCTTAAGAAAAAAAAGTACTCTAAATTATATCTCAACTAGTTGATGACCCGCGTATATGCGCGGGGTAAAATTTAGATACTAATAACTATTGAATAATAACTTTGATCGTTTAATCCTCGTATCATATGTCCCCAAACGTATAGTCATGGACCGTCAATATAAAGATGTAAGTATCGGTCATGTTGATATTTTATTTTTTAAACCTCTTAAATTTACATTAGATTTCAATTATTAATCGGAATGTTATATTTCATATTCTCACTTCAATATAAATAATTGTATTCCTGACATGATACGATTGAATAACACTTAAGATTCGCACTTGTGCTGCATGAACATTACTTATGTATACAATTATTTTTATATATTATTTTTTTGTTGTTCATTTATGGAGTAAAAATCAAGAAACTTAATCTTGCTTTTTATTTATAATAATTTTTGTTGGTAGAAAAGTAAAAAAAAAAATCATTTATTTATTTTATATAGTATATAAATATAATTAAATAATATTGACATAGGTATATAGTATAATTTAATACAAATATTTATTACTTTAGTTTTTGTACTCATATGATTTTATTAACATTTTTATATTTGCTAGAAAAATATTATTTTGATTAATATGAATATTTATTAATTGAGGCTTCCTACTTAATGAAAATTTTGAGAGTAAAATTTTATGTATTTTATACATGACATTCATATAGATATATATTATATATTAAATGAAACTTCATTTTTATATGATTTTATAATCATTTGTATTTTGCTATAATAAAAAAAAGTTAAACCATTAATAAAAAAAATTATTGTAGGATTCTTAATAGTCTTACTAATTTATAATAGTTAAAAATTGAAAATATAGCATATAAGAAAAAATAAAAAAAAATTTATTATATGGTTAATGTAATTGTTTAATATTTTTTAAGAATATAAAATTAAATAAAATGATGAATGATACAAAAATTGTTATCAAATATTTATTATTCAAAATCATTAAATGTCATATCTATGTTAACCATATTGGGTAATTTTGTAGCTTTTATTTAATAAAAATATGTTGAATATTATTTTGTACACTACTAATTAATGTTATAGTTAATTTATGAAAAAATATAATATATATTTAGATGGACAGCTTTGCTCGTTTGACACCTTGACTGGCTAACTAAGAGACTAGTACCCTTTCTGACTGAACCTCCGATACACCTCCTACGGTGGTTGCCAAAGCTCCGAGTGAACCCGAAATAGGCCATGGACTTGGATCATTTTTAAGAATCATTCCGGTGATGACACGTGGTTACCAAAATATGTTATAATAATTATTATTTAATATATATGAGATTATTAGTGAGTATGTGTCATTGATCCAACATTTTAAAGGATGCTTGAATTTCCAATTAAGCTACAACTCAGTGTTCTCCCTCTCTGCCTTAGCTATGAAGAAAACAAAGGAAATTCCTTTTTCTTCCTCATCATCAGTATCAAGTTAAAAAAAAAAGAAGAAAAAAGAAAAAAAAAGAATCCAATTCCAATTGCCACCGCAGAAAGTTTCTTTAGTTTAAACAAACTAACTTGTCAACAAATCCCAATCCAACAAAATTTATTTATACTTATTGTTTCAAGACATGTTTTATATTATTTTTGCTATATATTTACCACACTAGAATCCAAACTTCTTATATATTAAATCACCTTCTAGTTTAGAATTGTTTGCTTCTATATATATGTGTCGCATGGTTATTACCTATTTATAACTTTCGCCGCCACTATATAATCAACCAATTAGGAATCACAATCTCTGTCATCACGATTTCTTTAACAATGAAATCGAAACTGAGAGATTTGCCTGTAGGATTCAGGTTTCGTCCAACAGATTGTGAGATGTCAAAATATATATTGACCAAAAAATTTTTGGAAGAACAACCAATGGAAGTTCGTAATGTACGGTATGTACCTGAAGAGTGTCATGACATCTTTTCAAAGCATCCTCGTGACTTGCCTGGTAAGTTTCTCCCATTCCTAAATTTCGCCATATATATCATCCAGTGCAGGATGTACGTGAACCAAGGAGACGAAAATGCAACCATGAAATTTCAAAATGTTTATAATATACCTAAATTTTACCCCTTTTTTTTTCCTTCACTAAATATCATATTCTAACTATATTATTTAAGTTTATGTGTGATTTTCCCCAATAAAAATAATTCTACATCATCTGCTGACTTTTTTTTTAAGAAAAACATCAACTGCTGATTTTCTACGGTTTTGCTTATGAGCTGTAAAAATATCAGAAAAGTTATACTTTTGTTGTCTAAGATTTATCTTGCTATAATTAAGTAATGTTTGATCTATGTTTCTTTTTGTTCTTTCAGGCTACCCAAGAGAAACACATTGGTTCTTTTATTGCAGAAAACTTGACAGCCATGTTACTACTAACTCTCATAGTATTTGGAAACAAATCGGAGAAGAAACTGATGTCTTAGATCCAAAGAATAACGATGCATTAGTTGGTATCAAACATTCATTTATTCTTGTTGATTACGAAGAAGAGTCCGATGATATTCTTTTCTCAGATGAAGAAGAACCTTCAAACTGGTTCATGGATGAAATTAGCCTCCCTTTGACAGTTTCAGAGACTGACTGGGTTTTGTGCCATGTTTTCCGCAAACCTGGATCTTCTTTTGAAGAAAGATGAAAACATTGTTCCTCCATATGCATCTTCTTCTCCACCTTAGCTTATTTTGATGGGTTTAGAAAAAAAGTGGATGGGTTTAGCTTTGTTAGAATTATTTTAACTGATTATGTAATATTGTCACTAATAAAATGAAAGAGAACAATTTGTAAAGATCAGTTTACAAGAATCAGAATGAATGCAGAGCAGAATCTCATCAATAATAATAGCCCTTGGAATCAGGGTATTAGATTCTCAATAACTTATCATAGTCCAAATAGTTATCAGTCGCTGCAGACCTAAATTGTCTTTTAGACCAATTTTCAGATTTCAGAGAAACAATTTGAAGAAGAATTAGTGGCTTTACCAAAGCATGTTCATTGAGTAGTAAATACATGATACATGTAAGGAAAAAAACACAAACTAAACAAATCACACGCACAGATCCACATATTAAAAACGATTTTGTTAAGTAGAAGCTAGATATATGAACAAGAATTTCCGTAATCATATGATGTTTTGGTCTGTGTTTAGCTTTCTGGGCATTTGGGTCCATATATTCTCCACGAAACTATATTCAACTAATACACATTTGTTACAATAAATGCATTTTGTTTTTGAGACTATATTTAGGATATAGAGATCTTTAAACTTTAAGTTGTTTCAGTCTTTAGAATGACTGATTAGGGTTTGTGCTTATTAAGCTAGGCTTGTGGTAAACTGCAACGTGGAGACTTCCATCGGGTATCCGAGTTTCTTGAATTGTGAGTGAGTTTCGAATGTTTCTTACGTTTTAGTCAATAGTTTTGATTTGAGATTGCAATGCTGTTAGTTTTCCAAGCAGGAGGTTGTTGTGCTCCTTCAAATGTAAAAAAGTCGTCTGAAAACAATATCTCACAAAATAAACTCCGATGTTGGTAGAATGAATTTGAGTGTACAGTCAAGCTGTTTTTACTCAATGCGTCTAAGCAAACATAAAATAATCATATTCTAATGTAATAGAAATTATACAATACATTTTACATTCGTTGAGTGGGTAAACATTGTCTAAAACAAAAATTAAAAAGCGATGCCATTTACAATTTCATATTTTTCCTTTCTTATATACTAGATGATAACCCGCCATGCGCGGAGTGAACTTTTTAAAAATATGTTGTATTTTGTGGGAACCGAAATTCACCCCAGTCGATTTCACGTAAATTTAGAAACTTAGAGTAAACCCTAATTTCCCAGAGGACCCGGCTATCTGCGGAACCGCACACAAGCAATCAAAAACACGATTTAGATGAAAATAAAAAGATGTAAAAAAACGAGATTGAGAGAAAGAAGGATCTTATTCCAAATTCGCGTAAGTGTGGCACAACAAGAGTAGTCTTAGCTGTGTGAACCGTCGGCGAAATTCCTAACTCTAGCAATCTAAGACTAAAACTCTAGTTGAGACGCAGCTCGATAACAAAAACGGATATATTCCTAAGTGCTAAGTTTGGTGGTGAAAGCTCTGAAAACTCGTTCTTTGCTTATGTCCTCTGCCTTCTGATTATATACTCCCTCTTTTAGGTGGTTTAGTCCTTCCTTTTCGCCCAGATTCGAGTTTATCGGGAATCTTTCATTTATCTCGATCTTTCCATTTTCTTTGCGGAAATATTCTATTTATCTTCAAACTTGACATTTATCTTCAAACTTGACATTTATCTTCTTTCTGCGAGTAAATCTTTAAACCGTCATTGTATCTTTGGGTTGGATTCATCTAAAGTCGCAAGTGGACTTTTATCGCGCTTTTGGGGCTCTCCGAGCCATTTTGCGATAAAAACCGTTTTACGATTTTAGACAAGATCGTTTCCTGATACGATGCCGTTTTTATAAGATTTCTCGTTGATCGTATAGTTTGATAATGCACAATGTGCGGTCTAATCATTTTCGTTTTATACGATCTTCCCGAACTTTACCAGAAAAGAAGACTTTTACGATTTTTATCGTAAAACTTAAACGGTAAGACGGATCGAGACGAAACAAGAGACGTTTCAACCATGGTTCAAAGCATGATCGAACCGAAGGACGTATGCCTTGAGTCGAGGACGTGGAAGATCAAGGCTCGGGACGGTCAGCTTGACGTACGGCGAGCCGAACCGGGTTGGTTCAGTTCGCCGTACGGCGAGCTGCATTGAGGCGACCAGCTCGCCATACGGCGAGCTGGTCCGAGACCGACCAGTTCGCCGTATAGTGAGCTGAACCAGCTGGTTCGGCTCGTCGTACGTTGAAGTTGGTTCGGTCGAACCTGTTCGCGGTTTACGGCGGATGCGTTTCGCTTAACTTGGACAATCGTGTAATCGGCGATTGTTTCGTTCGTTCTTCCGAGATGACGATTTCCAAGTTTTTCCAAGTTTTTCCGCAGATTTCCTTTGTTTGGAAAGTCCTTATAGTTTCATAAAACAACTTCTCGTGTTTTATAAAACGTATTTTTCTTTTTGCGGAAATTTTTGGTCATTGATTTCCGTCGTACTGATTTTGTCCCCAACATATTTAAATATATATTTTGCTATCAATATGGACATTTGGGTACTATTTGGTTCGGTTAGATTATGTTTGGTTTAGATCATTGCGGTTTGGTTTGAGTTTTTGCAGGTTCAGAGTGGGTTTAGGTTCGGATAACCCATTTATTTTTTTATAAAAAAGATTAAACTTCATATATACTTTAAATTTTTCAAAATCTAAAAGTAGAAATAATATCTAACATAAATTTGAAAAAATGAATGAAAAAAATACTTAAAGTTAACATAAAATTGGTTTATCATAAATATTTGGACAAAATATCAATAAATATTTCAAATATTTTTGGTATTTAGAGTATCGTTTGGCTATTTTTAAAATTTGCATTTAACTACTTTACATATTTCTAAGTATTTCGTAAATTTTTAAAACATCTCATTTGTTTTGTATATTCTTAGATGTTAAATTTAAAAATAATTAATATATTTAAGAATATAAATCTGGTTCGAGTTATGATTATCTAGATACCAAAATTTCGAATTCGCTTGGATATCTACCAATTTTGGTTAAAAATTTGTATTACTTTTTGGATTAGTTTATTTCGGGTATTTGGATTCAGTTTTTTTTATCCAACCATATATTTTTTTTATTATACCAAAAATTAAAACGAAAGGGATGATGGTTCATATTGATTTTGGGTATGCAAAAAATTTTAAACAAAACACACTCTATTATGGGTGATCCATTTAGTTAATCATTATAAACTGTTTAAGACCCATTAGAAAAACGATTGGCTGAACTAAAATCGTTACCATTGATCACAAAATTTCAGTGTGAGCTTTTTACCATTTTAAGTAATTTATGGTCGTTTTAAAAAAATTAAAATTGAACGTATAAGAAAAAATATTATTTTTTATTATATAATTAATGTGATTTTTAATTCTTTTAATAATATATAATTAAATAAAAAATAAAGAGTATACAAAATTGTTATCAAATATTTATTATTCATAAACATTAATTGTGATATATATGTTAATCATATTAGGTAATTCCTTAGCTTTTATTTAAGGAAAGAATAAATAATATTCTTTTGTACACTACTATTAAATATGATAGTTGGTATAATAAAAATAAGTTTATGTTTAGTTGGACCAACATATTTCTCTAAGAGTTATGAAAATCATTCTCATTGTGACACGTGGCTACCAAAAAATGTTGTAATGCTCCAACATATAGGAGATTTAAACTATTAATCAAAAATATTATAATTGAAATTTTAAATGTTTTATTAATTTATAGTCATTTTGAAAAATTTAAAATATAACATATATAAAAAATATAATTTTTGTTATATAGTTAATGTTATTGTTTAATTTATTTTCATAATTTAAATTTAACAAAAATATTAGATTCTATAAAATTTTTTATCAAATCTTCATATTCAAATCATTAATTGTCATATATATAAATATATATATATATATATATATATATATATATATATATATATATATATATATATATATATATATATATATATATATATCATAACCATATTAGGTAATTCGGTAAATTTTATTTAAGGAAATAATGAATAGCATTAATAATAGTTTTATATTTAGGTTAATAAAAAGTATATTATATGTTTATATGAACCAACATTTTTCTCTATTAAATTTGAGAAGCATTCTCATGCTGACACGTGGCTACCAAAGCATGTTGTAATGCTTCTCTGATAATATATCTATACTATTATTTGCGAAGTGATTTTTCGCAATAGAGCTCTCACGTTGAAAGTTAGGATGGCTAATATCTATAATACCCTTAATGAATTCATTGTATAACTAACATATACGAACATATAACTAATTAAGTATAAACGAATAGATGTTGTTGGCCAGATTGTTCATGTTGGTGCTCTCAGTGAAATTTATGCTAAAGGGAAACAAACGACCAAACTCAATGTTATTCTTCGAGATGGAACGTAAGTACTTTTAATTTTATATTTCAGCTTTTTATTAATGTCTTCTTTCTATTAATTTGATTTGGTTCGTTTGTCTTTTTTTGTAGTGTTTCAGATTTGACTTGCACTCTTTGGGGTGAATATGGGAAACAAGTTGTAATTGAAAAAAATAACAAGTCAATTATTGTTTGTGTTGTGCGTCTCGCATGTGTTACCGAGTATAAAGGTATCTTTCAATATGTTTTCCCCAAGAAAAATTCTCATAAAATACTGCGACAGATATATCTTTATGGATGAGAGAAAATTGTAGCTGTTAATTGGAGCTAGCTCTTGCTGGGAGCAAAGCCTCTTGCTTTTCTTTGAAAAAGACGGGGAGTTCTTCAGGTGCAACTACCATACTTAGCCACTTATGCATTCACGTTCTATTTTCTCTTTCTCTGCACCAAAACATGATATTTTCATCATCAGAGTCAGCCAGTTATCATATCCACCAAACTCATGCCAAGCTGTGGAGTGGAGAGGGTAATAAAAACGTTAAAAGTGTGATAAGTAAAGTTTTTTTTTTGGTATTAAAATGAAAACGCTATGAGATTTGCTACACACACTCAGTAGAGAGGGTAGAAGAAGTATCGCCTTTGATCGCTCGGTCGCTTGAATGAAGTCAATTTTATCAACGATACTCTTGCTTTTTCTCCAGATAGCAAGGCAGCTTCATTTACCAAGTTTGTTTGCAACTGTCTGCCTTGAAAATCAGACATATGGGACTATGAGATATACAACCAAAAACGTAAAACTGAACCTTTGATTAAATACTACAAAAGAAGAATGAAGAAGAACAAAGAGAGGAGCAGAGAACAAGCTACGAAGAAAAAAGAAGAAGAAGAGGAGACTTGAAACGGAGAAACAAATAAGAGTAAAGCAACCACAACAGGAAGTCAAACATGAGTGGGAGTAACTAGCTGACCTTGACACTCATAATTAACGGGGAGCTTATTCTTCACCGAAGAAAGTTTTCTTAACTGATGTGATCACATCATTGTTTAAGAAGATTATGCCCGCGTCGTACGCGGGCTAGCCACCTAGTTGGGGATATAGTTGATGTAAGATATTTTTCCTTAGTTCTTATCTATCGCATTCAGAGTCGGCCCATGTCTATAGCAGGCCCTACTAAAATTTTGAATTATGGATCCTTTTCTATTATATTTAAAAAACTTTACTCAGCTGAAAAACCCCAAAAACAATTCTGGGCCCTAAAAACATTATTACAAACTATTATTTATTTCATGTGCTAATTACGAAATATGTAAATGTAACATAAATTTTTTTTTGTCATTTTTTTCTTACCAATTTATTTATAATATCGTCTAATATCTTCTATTTCAAAAATAAACATATATTTCATGTTCTTAGTGTAATCAAATATTAGAAAATCTTGTATTCTTCTTTTCAAAATAATTATTTAATTTGAACTTGAGCATGTTGTGTTTTTAAAACTCAATAATTTTAGCTTGAAATACTTAATGTGTTTCTTGCCAAATACTCAAAAACTAAATTGATCTACATATAAATAGAAACTAAAAGTAAATATTCTTTCATCAAAACTATAATGTTAAACGAATAGTACTGCATTTTAAAGCGTGAATTAAAATATAACAATATATTAAAAACTAGGGATATTCCGGCGCGCCGGATTTAGATGTTTATTTTTATTCAAACTTGGAAATATTGTGTTCTTCTATGTAGTAGTTACTTGTGTGCATTGTGGTTGAGGCCAATTTTCTTTGTGGGAAAGTGTGCTGGATGTTTGTGTGTTTTTATTACGATAAGTAGCATGAGTATTAGGTTGTTTGTCAAGCAATTCTCTTATTTTTCAGATTTTAGTGTAAAGAAATTTTGTTTGTAAATATATTATTATTGCTGTATAAATAGAATTTTTTTTTTTTTTTTGTATTGTTAATGTTAATGTATATCAGTTCCTAAGGAAATTGTTAATGTTAAAGTATATGGGTTCCTAAGGAAAACTTTTAAACCAAAGCATGCTATTTGTGGTAGGAGGAAGTTCTGTTATCTGGAGCTTGTACACTAACAGAAATTATTCTTTGAAAACGTTTTCTCCTGTTACTATGTTTAGAGGTAAAACTTTCCTTTTAAAATACACATTTTTGTTGAATTGAATAGTTTTGATTGTCTAAAGATTTTGAACTTTATATATGATCTTGGGAACAGTTTAATATGGGTGGACAGCTCGTTGTTTGTCTAACTTCTGGTGTTATGTAAGAAGTTTGTGAAACAGGTTGCTTGAGCTTGCACGGATGTTTAAACTTGAATTTTATTAAAGACTTTGAGATGTAATTTAATACTTTTGCTAGTAAAAGAATAGTTTTTTTAATATAAATCTTTTTTTTGTCAACAGTTTTTTCAATAAAACAATAATGGTAATTTGGATATCTTTTGTGATGACGTTTTGATATATAATTTTGGACACAAACGGATTATCAAAAATGAGATGAGAAACGTCGTGATGTTCTCTAACATTCTCTAAAATATCGTGGGCCACCAAACACGATCATGACCAAGTGGGTTTACGTGGGTTTATTTGTCAAGCTTAAACGTAGCCCAAACGGAAGAACTTTATTATACGAAATTTCAAGCACTAAATAAAGAGTAATGTGTGGAAGAAAACGAAATGCGACACACACAGCTATCTCTACGGTGCAACACGTGGCGGCGAAAAAAACCCATCCTACAGAGTGACGTGGATGCCTAAAAAGACAGATAACTCAATTTTATTTATAAAGATTGCTTGTGAACCAAACTTTAATTTGGTTTGGTTTGGTAAAACTGACAATTTGATCTCACATTGGGTTTGGTTATGTGGAACAACAGAATCGCCGGCTTGGTTACTCAGTCGCTGATACACTAGTAGCCTCAGTACCCGCGTTCGCATAGGATATCTCTCCTTCCTCCTCCGTTGGATTATGCACCTACCTTCCTTTTTTGACATCTAATACAATAGTACAGAATTTTGTGAAAACATTTTGCTATCACCTACCTTTACTAGGTTGTGTTATTGCCCGTGAGTTATATAATCATGATTATACCGTATATAGATATTTATATGCTATATCCAATTGAAATCGAAATGGAAACAAAAGTCGAATTAAAACTCAAGTTCACCCCTAGGTTACTAGAGCAATCTTATTGGGGAAATATTCACTAAGTATCTCACTAATAACAAAATTAAGTTTACGATCGTGTTTGACTCGAAGGGTTAAAAGGTTAAGCGAGTGACAGAGACACCCACTTGATCCCCGGCGTTCTGTTTCTCTCCAGCCAAGTCTTTCACCATTTTCCGAGTAATCTCTCCAGTCTCTTCTCTTATTTATGTCTCTCTCTCTGCGTTTCTTCTGTTATTATCACCGTGTTTTTTCTAATGTGATTCGAGTGTCTTGATGGTCGTCTCTTTACTCTCTATTTTGGATCGATGAACAATAGTTAACTTTATTCAATCCATTATTGGTGTAGTTTTCAATCACAGCATTTATTGAATATGTTTTCAAATCTCATTTGACATTCATTGATGTGATAAACGGATCTTCTGACATAATATTCTATTTAGGAAAACATATGATCTTCTTCTTCTTCTCTCAAAGCACCATCATCTCTACTGCCACAGGCCAACATGGCAGGGCCTCTGTTAAAGAGTCATATACATTCTCTTTCTCCTAAAGATGTTCTCCCTCCAAAAAGTATAGCCTTTGCCAATTCTACTTCTTCTGGATATTGGTTATTATACTTATGTTTTGGTCTAAGGTGTGTTTAGAATTTTCTTACTCTGCAGTGGAAGGGAGTGAAAATACTTGGGAAGACTCGCTAAAGCTTGGCGTAAAGAATGATGAGATGATAACTTCATGAAGGTATTCTCATTCACTGACTCCTTATATGACTGTATCTGGTTTCAACAATATTAAAAAAAAAACTGTTTTGTACAACTGATGTATGTGTGTTAACGGTTCCTTTATTAGTATAGGTCTAAACAGACATCTTTTGCTGGAACCAAGGGAAATGCACATTCAGATTCAACAAGGTTCGATGCAAATGTAAGTGAGTACAAGAAAAGGACAACTATAATTGTCGAGGAACATATTAGCACCAATGATGTTGTATCAGTTGCTAATGAGCTCAAGGAGATTGGAATGGCTGATACCGTTACTATTTCCTCCAAATATAAAATCAGATAGTCCAGAACTTGGCAAGCGTGTAACTATAGTAATATGCTCATAAGATATATATATATATATATATACTAGGTGATCTTCCCGTGCGCATGCACGGGCATATATATTTATAAAATAAATATACAATAATAATTGATTGATATTTATTTTAATTTTTAAATTAATTTATAATTTGCATGTTCTAATTTATATTATAATATTATATTACTTTAATTATATATATATATAATTTTGGATATGTTATATTTAGTATGTTTTATTGTTCTTATGGTCGATTTAGTTATCATTTAGATATATTGGATTCTATCTATTTCTCTGAATTCAACTATAATCTTTTATTTTTTAAATATATTAAATTTTTGATTAATTGTCTTATTTGCATTTATGTTGGTTGTTATCTTAGAAATACAAGTATATTTAGTAAGATTATATATAACTTAAGATTTTTTGTGTTTAGAAGGAAAAAAAACAAAAACTAAAGTGTCTGATTCTAAATTACATACATAAGTAACTAATGAATTTTTAGAAGCTTTTGAACACATATTAATATTTACAATAATTAAAATATTTTATAAATTCTAAATAAATTTATGCTTTCGATTGATTGGATGGTAAACTGAAATTTCTTTTAAATAATTTTAAAAATAAGGATTCTGATTTGCTTAAGTATTTTGACTATGGTTATATTAAGTTTCACAAACATAAAAACAGAAAATTAAAAATCAAAAGATTTATTACGAAAACAGATAATTTTAACTATTATAATATAGTATATCTACCTCGTTAAATTATATAGTGGTATTTTAAAATAATTGTAGTTATTTTCTGTGTTTATGTTTGTGAATCTTAATATAACCATAACCAAAATACTTAAGTAAATCAGAATCCTTATTCATAAAACATATAATTTTAACTATTAAAATATAATATATCTACCTCGTTAAATTATATAGTGTTATGATATTTTAAAATAATTGTAGTTACTTGATCAAAAGATGTTTATTATTAAATTTATTTATAGTTTTATTTTTAGTATCTCTTAAAATAGTCAGTAAAAAAATGATTGTTTTTGAGAAATTATACTATATAAGTAAAATAGAATTTATATTTTTTACTGTAATTGTAAGATATTATAGTCAAATAAATATATTAAAAAATAATTTCAATAATACTAATTATAAGAAAATGTCAATTAAACATATATCAGTTTATGTTAGTTGATTATTTTATGTAATCATCTAATAAAATATACATATATATACAAAAATAATTATTTTGAATATATATATATATATATATTTTATTGTTTACAATTATTTTTTTTAAGAAAGAATATTTCTTTTTCTAATAGCAATATTTTTTTGTGAAAATATTTTTTATGAAATCACATTACATACAGATATTGTTTTTTTATTTAAGAAGATATAGATATAAAGTAATTTATTACTTCAAATGTATATTTTATGTTATTTAAAATATATTTAAATTAAATATTACTATTTTGTGAACTTTCTTTTTTTTATTAAAACATATTATATATACTTATATTTTCGTTTTTAAATAGTTTTGTAAATTTTATAAGTGTTTCCTTTTTATTTTATATTGTTATTTGAAAATTTTTAAAAAGGAAATAATATTTAATTGTATTTTTAATTT